GCAGAGCAGGCAGACTGGACACTAGGACCATGGCCCTGCCAGTTGCTCGGAGGACCAGTCACCTGCACCCGTGCAGACACACCCTGTGCAGGAGGCACCTGGGGCCCCTGGTGCCCTCGGCAGATGGTGTGTAGCCACCAGGAAGCACAAGTACAGGTGCATGTCATGTCCGTCTCCCAGAGGAAAAGAAGTTTATCTTTTAGTTCTGGAAATGCCAAGAGAGGGAGACTGGAGTGTCTGAAGACTGAGAGGGGGAGGGTCACTGGTCTGATGTCAGGATTGCAGGTGTGTTTGTGGACACAGCTGGGAGGGGCGGCAGAGTCAGAGATGGGGGACCCCCCCCATGGAGCCCCTGCCTTCTTTTCCTGGGCGCTCCACGTGACCTGTGCCCTCTACCCGACCTCTGGGCACAGCCAGGGAAGAGCAGAGGGGGCTGCCTGTGGAGGGACACGCTGTGGGTGTGGGGTGGGCCTGGGGCCGTGAGCTGCTGGACCGGGGCTGGAGGGGCAGCTCCCAGAGGACACCTGCTCTGGGCACTGCCCCAAGCTCGGAGACCAGGACACAGGCAGAGAACCTTGGGCTCTCAACGTCATGACAACACAGTGCCAGGTTTTACCGGGCATGTGTTCCAGTCAGAGCGGGGGCCAGTCTCTGGATGTGGACCTGTCCACTCCAGGAAGTACAGCTGGTCAGAAGCAGGTTTTCAGTCTAGAGGGGCCTGTGGCTCTATCACCTGGTGGCAGGAGTCCTGCACCCCAACCCACAGACAGCCCCATGAACCCCACGTTCCATTCAGTGCATCCCACGTCCTGGGTTCACCTACCATAGACCCACCTGTCCTGCCCACCAAGGAGTTGGCTTTTCCTGAGCTGGGAGCAAAGTGGCTGTCACCTTCTGGGTGTCACAGCACCATGCAGAGGTGGAGGTGGGGCATCTCCTGGCTTCTCCAGCACCTCTCACGGGCCAGACTGGCACACGACCCCTAAGCAGCCCCTGGTGGAGGACAGGGCCCTGTGGCACGTGGCTCGGCCCAGGGTGGCACTTTGCCCTGCATCTCCTCTGTGCAAAGGCGATGGAGGTCTCTTAGAAAGCGGGGTCAGGGGTGCTGGGTGGGGCCGGCAAGTTGCAGGCAGCCCAGGCTGCATATCAGCGGGAGGCCCCCACCCCACCTTGCGTGGGTACACATCCTCTGTGTGGGACATTTTCACAGGACGGCCACTGTCTGCGATAATTCTTCAGATTCTCTCTGTTCAAATGAACCTTTTTATGGATGCAAGAAATCAGTGAAATGAGAGGAAGGCTGGTTCCAGTTAATTCTGCAGCCAGCCAGTGGACAGCGTGGATGAGGCCATGAGAGCCTCAAGTTGTTGGCGACTCGGGGTGGGGGAGGGGCTGGAGGGGCACAGCTGGGCCCAGACTTCCCTCAGGACTCAGGCAGCCGCGTGAGCCTGCGGCCCCTTGTTTCTTGGAGCGGGCAGTCCATGGCTCGTGCCGCGTGGCCCTGAACTCGGGCTGACACATGCAGACAGCCCCAGGCTGTGCCCAGGGTGAGGTGGGCTTCCATGGGACTGGGGTCTCAGAGGCCTCCTGCCTCTGACTGTCCCTTAGAGTCCAGGCTGGACTGGAGGGGGACCTCAGGGTGGGTCCTGGCGGGGGCCCAGCTCTCAGGGTTCAGCCTCCGGTCTGTGGACTGGGCAGGGCCAGCGGGTGGACAGGTGCCCAGCCGTGGGCCACTTGGACCTGCACAGGCCTCTTGCTCCCTGGTTGGTTCTGCAAGGAGGTCCTTGTGCCCTGGCCATGGGGCACCTCGTCCCGGGAACACCGCCTCCTTGCCAAGCTGGGCCTCGTGGGGGGCACAGCCACTCTGTCTCCACACTCTCAGCAACTCCCGGAAAGGACTCCAGCTCCTGCTCCCTGCCAGCCTTTGCCTTGACCCATTACCACGGGCAGTCAGGGGGGAGGAGACCTGGGACCTTGGTGGTGGGCTTTTCCCCCCTCACTCAGGAGGACACGGGCTGGGGGAACTTCTCAGCGTGCGCCCAGCAGGGGGCTGAGGTCTGTCTGCAGTCTCTGGCCAGCCCCTCCACCCCCTGCTCCCCCTCTCAGGCGAGACCCTGAGTCCCAGGGAGAAAGGTGACCCCGGAGAGAGCCCCTGAGATACAATAACAGACCCAGGTGCTCAGGCAGCGGAGACAGGAGCTGCTCCGGGTGACCTGGCTGCAGTGTCCTCGCCTTCACCCGCTGAGAACAGGAGTGACCTGACCCAGAGCCTGGGGCCCTAACTGTGAACCCCCCCCCCGTTGGAGTTTGCTCCATTTCAACATCCCAAGCACCCCTGAACCAGCGGACCTGGGAAATGAGGGGGCAGCCCCCGTCAGCTCAGATGCATTTCAGGAAGGCTCCCCCTCGCCCCCGGCTCGAGTCGCGCTCGGTTTCTCTCTGTCTTGCCGCGGGCCCGGGGGTGGGGGCGGCGGCGCTGCAGAGATGTGCGGGGGAGGGGGGAGAAGTGAGAAAGGGGTGCGGGGCCACGCAATGCTGGCGTAGAGATGTGCGGGGGAGGGGAGGAAGTTAGGACGTGGGGCGCCCCCCCCACTGTCCCCCCAGCGGTGGCTAGGCCAAGGCCCCTGTGCATCTGGGAGTGAACTGCCCACATTGCAGTGCCGGGCTGGGGGGCGGCGATCGGCACCCGCATCTGCAGTGATGTCACCATCTGGGGATCCCTCTCCCAGCCTCACAACTGTAGGATCAGCCCCCACCCCACGGGTCTGCGTGGAGAGAGGGCAGGAAGGCGGGACGTCCGGCCCCAAGTCTCCCTTTCCCTCACTTCAGTGTGGCTGGGGGAGGACTGGGGGCGGCCGGGGCGACCTCTGCAGTGGAGCTTGGTGGTCTGGGTCTGTAGCAGGCAACGGGGTGCACTGAGGTCGGGGTCCTGCTCCTGCCCCCCAGCACCCACTGCTGGCCTTTACTGATCCCCAAATCCTCCCAGGAGTGGTGGCCTGGCCCCCACCCTCGGGGTCCAGCCCAAGCCCTGAAGTGGCAGGACCGTCGGGTGGGCCTGGCCACAGGGGCTGCGGAGGGGTGAGAGGAGGGGGGCGGGAAGGGAGGGAAGGGCTCCTTGTCTCTTTGGGACACGGCTTCTACATCTTTCTCAGCATCTGAGGCCCACGCTGGTCGTGCGAGACCGCAGCCTCCCCGAGCATTCTGAGATGGGGTCCCTCGGGGGAAGGGCCTTGTGGGGAGACGCTGGGGTTCCCAGGGCTCCGCGTCTGAAGGAGTCTCGAGTACACGGGGCAGCACCAAAGATTGAAAACAGTTGTCTCCAGGGGGTTGGAGCTCAGCGGCTACAGGCTTGAAAACCCGCAGTCGGAGGGGGGCTTGGCTGCTGTGAGGCTTCCGTTAGGGAGGGCAGCCGGCCAGCAATGTGCCTTTGCTAGGGTCCCCCAGGGACCCCCAGGTGCCACTCTCCTGGAAGGCGCCTGCCTTCTGGGAGGACATGGTTCCTTTCCTGTCACATTCAGTGACCACAGGTCCTGTGCATTAGCTGAGGAGAGGAGGGAGGGACAGAGAGACCAGCGGGGAACAAAGGCCACAGGCTGCCCAGATGTGGCCACTGCCTGGGGCCCTGCCGATAGCCGCCCCGTGTGAGCACCAGAGGAAAGGGCCCAGGAGGTCCATCCTGTCTGGGGGCGGGTTAGACACGTCGCCAGCTGGGGTGCACACATCGCTCCCTGCGGATCGGGGGCCTGGGACCCCTGGGGGCAGATGCTGCCCACCTCTCAGGAGCAGTGAGCAGCGGGGTGAGGGTGCCAGGGGCTGGCAGTGGGGGGGCAGGCCCTGTGTCCACGTGGGTCTCGGTGGGGCTGAGGGAGAGCTTCGTGGTTTCCCTCACAAGCCATGGATAAGATGAGCTTCCCAGACCAGCACAACTACCGGTTTTTTGTTTTGTTTTGTTGTTTTTTAAATTTTATTGGGGAACAGTATGATTTCCCCAGACCCATAAGCTCCAAGTCAAGTCGTTGTTTTCACTCTAGTTGTGGAGGGCGCAGCTCAGTGGCCCGTGTGGTGTTATGAGCTCTAACCAGCTGAGCCGCCCGGCCCCCTGCAACTACCAGTTATGAAACAAAATGCTGGAGATTGAAGTGCCGTGTTTGTGTTTTACCCCAAGGCCACAGCCAGTGCACGTACCCACGTCCAGATGGGCCCTCGGCTACACAGACGTGGCCTTCAGTTTGCCATCCCTGGAAATGAGGGAGGCTGTGAGGCCTCCCCCACTCCCCACCCACCCTCGGGGGGCTGGGCTGTGACCTCCCCCTGGGACTCCCACCTGCCTGTTCTCTCTACCTGGGGGCTCCCCCCATCATTCCCGGTGCCAGTGAGGATGCCGAGGGTGCGGTTGGAGGTCCCCGACCAGCCCCAGGGAGCTGGGGTGTGGGAGAAATCTGTCTCTGATCTGCATGGATGACCAGCTGGGCTCTTCACCCCAAAGCGGAGACGAGGCCGGCCTGGGGGGTGGGGGCGTGGGGGAGGCGTCAGTGGGCCACGGGTGTCGCAGGGAATGGTGCTGCTGCCCCACGCCTTCCTGGGGCTGGAGGGCTCGGTGTGTATTGGACGCCTGTGGGCTGTGAGCTTCACACTGGGGGGGTCCCTGAGGGGTTTGTAGCAGGGGACAGAGAGCCGTTTCTGGGGAGCACATTGGGTGGGTCCCCAGGGTTAGGCCCAGCTGTGACGTCCTCTCCCAAATGTTGGCAAGTTGTTCGCACCTGCTGGCAGTGGCTGGCTGTCCCGGCCCCTGCCAACTGCCCTCTTCCCAGGAGGCCAAGCTGCCCAGCGTCCCTGTGGCCTCAGCTCAGCGTGGGAAGGTGGCTTTGCCTGTGGAGGGCAGCAGTGAAGAACGGCGGGGTGGAAGTTGGGGAATCACAGAGAAGCGTAATGTGAGAAAGGCTCGCCACGAGGCCTGGGGCCCCGGGAAGGCCGCTAACTGCTCCGTTTCTCTCTGACAGCCGTGCAGGAGCAGTGCCCGCGGCAGCCGGCTGCCAGTGTCCCCTCATCCGGAGACGGCGGTGCCCGAGGAGGGTCGGTCGTGCTGGAGGGACGGCTGCTGCTGGAGGTGAGCCCCCTCGCCCTCTGATCACACACAGGGTCGTGCTGTGCCGGCCAGGCCCTCAGGTGGTGACTGTTACAATGAGCTAGAAGTGACGGCTCCGAGAAGGGCGGGTGGACGGTCCCAGGACTGCCTGGGAGGCTGGGGCCGCCGGGGCTCTGGGTGAGCTGCCCGGAGAGAGAGCCAGCCAGCGACGTCGTGGCCACGCTTGGAACCCGCAGATTCTTTTCATTCTGCGTGCCCCGGTGTTGCGTGTTTGTGGGAGAGCCCAGTGAAAGGTCACGCAGGTTTTTTGCTTTTGAATTGAGGGCGGAAGATGGCAGATTAGCTTCCTGGGGTCTGGCAGGTGTGCCCAGTTGGTCCGTTTGTTGTTGCTCAGTGGACGTCGCGGGCCGGGTGGGCCTTTCACCTGGGGTGATTCTGGGGCGCTTGCCCTGCCCCTGTCAGGTGGTCTGTTTCTCAAGGCAATGAGATGATGAGGAACTTTCCGGATTGGATCAAGTCACCGTTTCTCAGAGTGAGGGTGTCGCTGCCTCACCAGCTACCAGACCCCGAGCACCCCAGGCCCTGGCTTGTCCCTTCTCAGGAGGGGTTGGGAGGATGCGGCTGTCCCTCCACGAGAGGGTGCGGGCACACAGGTGGGGCCCCGCAGCAGCCGAGGAGGGCTGGGCCCCATGTCCCCCTGCGTCCCCCTCAGAGCCTGTGTCCGGAGCAGAGCTGGTTCTTGTCCCCCAGCTCTGTTTGTCTTCCCAGGAGAAGCCTCCTCGACCCCTCGCCCCCCAGTTTGGTCATCTGCTAGGCTGATGACTTGAAGGGCAGAAATGGTGACGTATTAGTGCCCTCGCAGCTGGGTCAAGCTCCCCTTCTCTGAGCTGGCAGCACCTTCACCCCAGATGCTCCCGCACCCAGCCTGCTCGCCCCGCTGCCAGAACCACAGGAAGACCCTGAGAGGAAACCCAGAAGGTACCAGTGCCCGGGGCTCGGCCCTCCCGCAGAGACACGTGCTGACCTTGGCTTTAGGACCCGCCTTGTCACTGTGGACTCACTGACCCGAGCAGCGCCGGGCCACCTGTGGACCTGGTGACACTGGTGTCTGAGGTGGAGGCGCCAGGAGGGGCCCTGCCCTCAGGTCCCCCAGCCCCTGCACCCTCCTCTCAACTCCAGGTCCCTCCCTCCTGGGTCCTCCCGGCAGCTTCCCTGATCAGCCTCCCTGTTCAGCCGTCCCGTGTGGGCTGCGGGAGGGGGGCTGTGGTGTGACCTCTGATCACCTCAGGCCCTGGAATCATCGCATCTGTAGTCCTCACCTCCTTGCGGCCCCCTCTGGGGAGGAAGGGGCACCTGCCCGGGGCCTTTTGTGTCTGACTCAGCCAGGCCCCACAGACACTGGCGCCCACTCCCCTTCTCCACTTTCAGCTTTTTTTTAGAACTTGCAAATGCTTACGAAGAAGAGAGGCTAGGACAATGGCTGGCCAGGGGCCTGTGGCCAGGCCTCTGTGGTGGTCAGCGTCCCTCCTCGTCCCCTCCCCCAGGCCCCGCTCTGCCGTGTGCTCTCAGACCCGCCCTCACGTCCCTCGCCCTGACACCCCTTGGTCCCCTGATGTCCTCTCGGCCCTGTGCTGTCCCATTGTGCGTGTGCCGTGTTAGGCCTCTGCCTTCCTAGCTACCCGGCCAGGAGCCCTCCCACCTCCAAGAACCTGGGTGACTGGGATCCAGTGAGGGTGACGGAGGGACAGATGGACAGGCAGATGTCTAGAGATGAAGGGAGAGGTCTGTAGCACAGGGTCGGGGTGCTGGCGCCAGGTGGAGCGTGGCGGCTCCGTGTTTCCACCTGCCCCCCCGGCTCCCCATGACCCCCACAGCCTCCCAAGTTCTCTGCCCTCTGAAGGGTTTGGATGTGCTCTCATGAGGGTCAACGAGCTTATAAATCTTTGCCTTTAAAAAAAAATATGTGAGGAAGTACATTCTTGTAGTTTGCTGGGTTTGTGTCTAATTTCCATAAAACCCCTCAGTATGGTGGGTGTTTGGCGGACTCCCAGCCTAGGGCAGGTGTCGTTTCGGTTCTGTCTGGAGCAGAGCGGGGGTCTAACAGCAGAGCTTTTGCAAACAGCATGCTTTCAGCAGCGGAAATACTTCCATTCTTCATTATTTGTCAGGGTTTAGGAAGCCAATTCTTAAATATCATTTTTCCTTTAATTTTTTTGTCACTGCTGGTAAAATTGGAGCAGGAAATGTAACAGTTTGCATTTTATTCTTGGCAGAGATAACTGGCGTTGCCTTATTATTATTCACGTTCAACGTTAATAAAACCTTAGTCATAAGCTCTTTTTAAGACGTTTGCCCTGAACTCTAACTGCAGAAGCTGTGTGCAGAGCCCAGAGCTGGGAGGCTGTTCTGCTCATGTCCGATTGTCCTCACAGCCCTGGGGTTTGCAGAGAGCAGCCCCCTGGTTGCCCGCCCTCCTGGGACGCCCACCCTGCGGCTCTGGTCGCTCTGGACAGGCTGGCTGAGGGCTGACCGGTGGGGGACTCTCAGGTCCCCACAAGCACCCTCAGGGTCTGGAGGGAGGGGTGCCCGCCACCCCCTGTGTGGAGGTGTTTTTGCAGCTCCCGTCCAGGGTGGGACTTGGTGAGAAAGAGGCCCCAAGACCGAGAGGCTGAGGTCCCTGCCTGGCTGCTCAGGGCGCTGCCAGCTGCCCTGTGGCCTGGCCAAATAGTGTCCCCCTGAAGTTCCCGAAGGCGCCTTCTGCCACCTCCTGTTTCTTGGTCTCTGTGGTCACAGGAAGTTTCTGGAAGTTTCCTTTGATTGGAGTCAGGGAGGTTATGTGGCAGGCTGCCTCCTTTACCCCGTGGGTTCTCAAACTAGGTCAGAGACGCTTCTGAAGTTGAAAGGTATTCTGAAAAAGAAAAAGAGGCACCCCAAGCAAGAATAACAAGACAATCTCAGTTTTCCTTTCCTATCTTCGATCTCTTGACGAGGAACTAGAAAAAAGGAGAGGTTTACAGCAGGGCATCATTAATTCATCGTAAGTTTAGAGCTGGCGCAGACTTGAGAGTGCTTGTGGTCTGATGTCTGTTATTTTAAGATGATGAAACAGATTTGCAGCTGTCAGGGGCTCATCCAGGGTCCCCTTTGCGTTGGGGTTGGAGCTGGGGCCCAACCGGGGTTTCTTTGTCTGGTTTAGTGGCTCTTGGGCCCTGTGGCTCCAAGCCCTTGGCTCCCTCGGGAACCCAGGACAGACAGACAGACAGAGCTGCTGCCCAGGGAGCGTCCTGACACAGGCGCCGGGCACCCGTGGCAGCAGAGGCTTTGGGTGGGAGGTGGGTGGGGAGAAAAGGGAGCGTGGGCCTGGGGGAGACGCCAGGTGGGCGTGGCAGGACCAGGGGCCCGGAAGTGCCGCGCCTTCCGTGTGCAGCTGTGAGCCCAGCGCGGGTGGGGACGCCTGGGTGTTTATGGCTCCTTTGAAGATGGGCTGCAAGGCCAGTGTGTTTAGTGCGGACAAGGCTACGTGCTCACCAGAGTGAACGTGGGCCTGTTGGGGGCCAGGGTGACCGTGTGACCGCTTGACCCTGGCTGGAGTTCGGGTGCACGGTGGCTGCACAGCACATATTCTGACATTTTAAAATTTATGCAGTGAGGTGAGAGCACCACAGTAGTGAAGGCACAGAACAATGCCATCGCCCCCAGCTACCCCCACCCCTGTGCCAGCGTGACTGCCCGCGGCACCTGGGCACTGCTGCTGGCCTCAGGTGGCCGCAAGCCACCCCCGCAGCGCGCAGCCTTGGGCGTCCGGCTGCCTGGCTCAGCTGTGACCGCCCTTTGGCTGCGTCGGTGGGCGGCCGGTTGGGTCTCGGCGCGCTGGTCCTCTCACCGCACAGGACACTGGGGCCATTTCCCGGCGTTGGTGTTTATGAATGAAGCTGCGACAAGCATTCACGCCCGTGTTTCTCTGAAGGCAGCTTTTCATCCCCTTTGGGTAGCACCCACGCGCGAGGGCTGGGCCCTTGAGTAAGTGCGTTTTCCACTTCGTAGAAACTGCCCCACTGCTTCCCAGCGCGGCTGTGGTGGGCCTTCCCGCTGCGCCACTTCAGGGCCTGGCTCAGTCTTGTCTTTTCTCAGGGCCGTGTGAACAGCTGTGTGCACCTCGTTATCGTTTTATTCACGTTTCCTTCAGGACTCATGATGCTGAACATCTTCTCATGCTTATTCGCCCTCCATGTGCCCTCCGCCCGCTTTGTAAACTGCCCATTTAAAAAATCAGGTTGTTCGCTTTCTCCCTGTTGAGTTCAGAGAGCTCTTCCTGTGTTCTGGACACACGTCCTTCCTCTCATGCATGATGGGTGAGTATTTCCTCCCAGCCTGGGGCTTGTATTCTCATCCTCTTGACAGGGTCTTGCAAAGAGGGAAAATATTTCATTTTGATGATGTCCAGTTTATCAATTTATTTTTAATAGGGATGATTTTGGTGTCACATCTAAAAACTCTATCTAGCCTAAGGTTACAAAGACTTTTTTTAAATGTTTTCTTCCAAACTCATATAGTTGTACGTCTTACATTCAGGTCCATGGTCCATTTTTTCATTAACTTTGGCACACGGTGTGAGATAACGGTCCACATCTATTGTGTTTGCACCGGAACGTCCCACCACTTCAGAATCATTTACTCGGCAGACTGTCCGCCCTCGGCTGACTCACCGTCATTCACACTTTGGTAAAATCAGTTGGCGTATCTATGTTTCTGGACTCTCTCTTCTGCTCCACTGATGGTGTGTCTGACTTTTCACTCGTAAGGACCATACTGTCTTTGTTACTGTAGCTTTATAGTAAGTCCTGCAATCACATAGTGTGAATTTTGCTTTTTTTGTTGTTCTTCTTCAAAATTGTTTTGGTTATTCCAGTTCCTCTGTCTTTCTACATAAATTTTAGAATCAGCTTGTGGATGTCTATAGGAACTCCTGCTGGGATTGTGTTAAATCTGTCAGTTTGGGGAGAATTGGCACCCTAGGAGGA